ATAAAGGTTCCATTGCCAATGATAATTATCTTAACTAGAAAAATAATGTTCTCACTTGGTAAAATATTTTATAGCTTTATAATAAAGATATATTTAAAGGAAAAGTCTATTCAAATAAATTGTACTAAATATTGAGAACCTTATGTGCTGTCTTTGCAATATATGACAAGTATTTTCTTCTGAGTTTTTTTATTTTTCTGTTGCTCTGGAATTCCCAAGTATGCAGGGGGAAACGACATTTTGGACTTTTCACAAAAGACTGATCTTTTCTATAGATAGGTACACTGAATTCCAAGAGAGACTAAATTTTTTTCACAAATATTACTATCAAAAAATTTTCAACCAGTAATTTACATTAAAATTTATATATAAATGTAAATAGGTATGTGTGTGTTGCGTATGAATATATTCTTAAATAGCCTAAGAATAGTCTCTGAAAGAGCAATCTTTAATGGTTTTATTTTAATGGGAAGTTTAAGTACATGAAATAGGTGAATAAAAGGAAAGCATATATCCCTAGTGCTAACAATTCTTTTTAAATCAGTAACGATTCATACGCATTTTCTTTCTCTCTCTTTGTCTCCCCCTTTCTCTTCCTCTTTTTCTATCTCTTTCTTTCTGAAAGGGTCTCACTTTGTTATCCAGGCTAGAGTACAGTGGGGCAATTTTAGCTGACTGTAACCTTGAACTCCTGGGCTCAAACAATCCTCCTGCTTCAGCCTCCTGATTATCTGGAACTACAGGCGTACACAACCACGCCTGGCTAATTGTTTTAGTTTTTGTAGAGATGAGGTCCCCCTGTGTTGTGCAGGCTGGTTTTAAACTCATGGCCTAAAATATTCTTCTGCCTCAGCTTCCCAAATTGTTGGGATTACAGGCATGAACCACTGTGCCCAGCCTAATATGCATTTAAAATCTGGTCTGTTCAAGTTGCCAGCGTTCATTCACCTTAATACTTTACTGTTAAAAAGAATTTATGTATGTTTTTATATAGAAACTCTGCCCAACATAACAATATTACAAACATAAACCTCCTAAATAGCAGTATTATTTTTGATATTTTCATTAGATGCTCCTCAGTATAGTTGTTTCATTATAATGTCCTTATGTTGTTTGTAGAATATTAACCTGTTCAAAAGGAATAAAAAGTATCCAAAGTATTAGATAACAAAAGCTTGAAATAAGGCCACTATACATAAAGGCTAAATAGATTGATTTGTATAGAAAGACAGCCAAAATCAGAACAAATGAAAGAAAACACTGCAAGTATAGTTATTTAACTGTAAATACGAAGGACCAATATTAATTATCCCATCTAGTAATAAATGCAAAACATGAGTGACTATACCCCTTGACAAAAGCATCTCATTGTTTCTTTCACACAAATGAAAGCCAAGTAGACAGCACGGTGAAGTAAGCAGGCATGTAATGATGTAAGTACATGTGCACAAAAGAGTTAACATAACAGGTCTGCGATAGCTACCATCAGAAAATCCTGACTGCAAGACTGGTATTGTGCTAGCATCTAGGAACTTATAGTTTGAGAGGGACCCCATGATTCTCTAACTGATAAGACTTCTTCACTGTGCCTAAACTGTTTGTGACAAACAATATGGTTTATACTGAATACCTGCTTTTCTACTGGGCATCTAGAATTTTGGTATGTCTTTAGTCATTAAGCAACCCCTGGTAAAACTCTGGACTCACAAGCTCAAGTTGAGTTTTCCCGGTCGACAGCACTTTATGCGTGCTGTCGTAACTTGCTGTTGGAAGAATCAAGAGGTTCATGTGTAACTCCAGTGGGAGAGGACTCTTTGGAAGCTTGCATCTGGTTTCCTCTAGACCTTGCCCCACGCATCTTTTTTTGCTTTGCTGATTTTGTTTCACATCCTTTCACTGCCACAAATGATAGCCATGAGTACAACTATATGCTGGTGATGGCAGGGGTGACTTGTCTGCAGCAGCTGCTGCCATGAGGCTGGCTGCAGTGGGAAGCTGGCGGGAGCCCTGCCCTTCTGAGTCGGAGGGTGAGAGCCCTGCCCTCCTGGGTGCAGCTGCAGCCACCCAGCCACAGTTGCAGACCCAGACATCCCTGTGTTCTTGGGGACCTGGGAAGCCCTCTGCCTCCACAGACTTTAAAGTGCCTGCTCCCATTGCCTGGCCTCTCCCTGCTCCCAGCACCCAATATGATTTTGGAGCACAAATGAGGCTGAGCCCAGGTGCTGTCACAACTCAGCTGGGTGTGTGCATGGTTGGGGCAGCGTTAACACACCAGCTCCCTGCTTCCTCACCCGTCTCCAGACTTTGGGTGCCGATGAGCATGGGAGGGAGGCTGAGGGAGTGTTGAGTGCAGCTCGGTGAGGGCCTGCAGGTGCCCCTTGGCATGAACAGCCTGGGTGCTGTGGATGACAGGTAGATGGTGGCAGGAGGCAGACAGGTTCCTGAGCAAAAATGGGCGAGTCCCCAGCGAACACCTATATTTAAGCCAGGGACCTGAAGCTTGGGGACTGAACTGCCCATTCACGGACTGGAGTGAGAATATATGGTGTTTTTTTCAGGCCTGCCCACGGCTAGCCATGAACCAATTAGCACACACTTCCTCCCTTCTGAAGCCCATAAAAACCCCCAATTCAGCCAGACTGCCAGATGACAGGACTATCTGCCTGTGGATAGGAACTATCCACTCCAGGTCTCCTCTCTACTGAGGGCTGCACAAACGACAAGATGATCTGCCAGTAGATACAAGCTAACTACTCTGGGTCTCCTCTCTGCTGAGGGCTACACAGATGTCAGGATGACCAGTCTGCCAATGGGACCTACCCATGCCAAGTCTCCTTTCCACGGAGGGCTACAAAGATGACAAGATAACCTGCCAGCAGATATAGTCTAACCACTCTAGGTCTCCTCTATGCTGAGGGTTACAAAGATGACAGGATGATCTGCCTGCAGATAAGAGCTAACTGCTTTGGGTCTCCTCTATGCTGAGGGCTGCATGGATGTTGGGATGACCTGTCGCAAATGGGACCTACCCAGTCCAGATCTCCTCTCCACTGAGGGCTGCACAGATGTCAGAATGATCTGTCTGTGGAAGGGAACTACACACTGTAGGTCTCCTCTCCACTAAGAGCTGGACACCTGTGGGGACGACCTGCCTGTGGGAAACAGCTACCCACTTCAGGTCTCCTGACAATTGTTCTGCCACTCAGTGAAGCTCCTCTCTGCCTTGCTCACCTTCTAGTTGTCCACATGCCTCATTCTTCTTGAATGTGGGACAAGAACTCAGGATCTACCACATGGCCAGACTAAAAGAGCTGTAACACAAACAGGGCTGAAACACGCCCCCACCACTAACCACATTGTGGACAACAAGAAGGAGAAAAGAGCTATGGCCCTTTGGGGAGCCCATGCCCAGGGGCTCCCTGAGCCAGGGCCGTGACACCTTCTTTGGGGTTCTGCAGTTCCTGGTGTCTCTGAGCTTGCAGGTGTCACTGCATTCCCCTTGTGCAGATGCAGGTACCTGCAGCAAAAGCCATGTGCAGTACATCTGGTCCAGCTGCAGCCTCACATGGAACTAGCACCTGTGCTGGCACCTTGAGCTGCCTCCCCTGCCACAGCAGCCAGTGCGCCTGGCTGTGCACAGTGACCGGACCCTGCACTTGTCGCTCACACACCACTTGCTACTCTGTGCCTGGTTCGTGCTTGGCAGTTGTGGAGTCTGGGCCGGTAGTGCGAGCAAAGTGCAGCCTGCTGGGCTAAGTAGGCAGAATGAGCCCAGTGGGCATGAGCAATACTCAGGCAGAAAGGGCTGCTGGCCACAGAGTTTTGTGGCTGGTGAAGTGACACCCTAAGGATCTTGTGACACCAGGTCCTGTCAATCCTCCTAATAAATCATGAAACCTGAGGGACAGTCCTGGAGACTTTCCACACAGTATACAAAATATTTAATATTGTGGACTAACAAAGGAAATTACTTATACCATGATGTTGGAAATTAAAGGAACTTTTTTCTTTGGGCTACTAGAGGTTAGGATTTAATGACCGGTACAATCATTGTGCTAGTAATCATTATCAAAAACACATGAATATAATGAGTAAAATGTAGAATCAGGGATTCCTATGCATGGAAGGAATTTTTATGGAGCTAGCAGATTGGTGGGTGACAGGAAGATCTCAGAATATAAAAAATAAATACAGCAAAGTACTTTATGGGAAAAATCAACAACCTTCAGTAAACACATTATAATGACTTCTATTTAAATGTCTTATTTACCAAAAATTTTCACCTTATTCTCTAGCGGAACATTTAAAAGCACTTATAAGCTATCATTTATATAACAGAAAATGAGAAATTAGTATGTACATTACAGAAATTAATCTATAAATAGTACTATTGCTAGCATCTACTCCATAAACAAATACAAATACTTTTATTTATTTTTGAGACAGAGTCTCACTCTGTTGCCCAGGCTGGAATGCATTGGCTCACTGCAATCTCTGCCTCTCAGGTTCAGGCAATTCTCCTGCCTCAGCCTACTGACGCTGCGACTACAGGCAAACGCCACCATGCCTGTTTTGTATTTTTATTAGAGACAGGTTTCAATACATTAGTCAGGCTGGGCTTGAACTCCTGACCCCAGGTGATCCACCCGTCTCGGCCTCCCAAAGTGCTGGGATTACAGGCGTGAGCCACCGCGCCATGCCTGTTTTGTATTTTTATTAGAGACAGGTTTCAATACATTAGTCAGGCTGGGCTTGAACTCCTGACCCCATGATCCACCCTTCTTGGGCTCCCAAAGTGCTGAGATAGCAGGTGTAAGCCACCACACCTGGCCCCATGATTCCATTTATATTGCAAGGAACATTTACAGCTGTCAAGAAATATGATTCTCTATTGCCATTTGACATGTAACCACTCTGTAAGGTAGTAACACAAATGATGCTGGTTCATATATTCCTGTTTTGTACAAGAAAGATATAAAAATATTTTCATTTAAACATACCTTAACTATTTCTTCAATGAAACAAATGTGAGAAACAGGATCTCTCTTCTTGGCCAGTACTTTTTGTAGATGTTGTACCTTAAATGAAACAAATGTAAAGCTTAGGCACAAGAAAAAGCAAGGAAAGGGAAATGCCAACCTTTACATACATTTAATCAGATAGTGGAGTTATTTTGAATGCTCATTGGTTAAAAAACCTGCCCAAGGTCACACAACTTGGAATAACCAGGAGTTAAAACATATTAACGTTCTTTCCACTCCTTCAAATATTTACCTGTCCACAAACAGCATAAATATGATCCATAAGTTTCTCCATATTGGTCCAGAGTGAAGCACGCAAAGCGGCAGTATTTCCTGGGGTTGGCATGGTAGATCGTCCAGGACCCCCTGGTTAGTAGTGAGAAAGAAATATGAAAAATAAAGTTTTCCAAAAGTAAAAATACATACGCATTATTATGAGAAGCATACAAAAACTAAAAAATGAGAAGTTCCTTCTTTAGGAAATAATTTCTTGTAAGAATCTTAACCTTTTATGTTTAAGAAAGAAAGGGAAACAACACATACCCAGGAAGGATGAAATGGAAATTGATGAAAATGGTTTCCTTGAAGGAGTGTGAGAATGGTGGGAAATGAAATAGGTGAAAGGTGCCAGGATGGAGGTGAGTCTTCCTCTGTTTCCTACTGCTCTCATGTCCCTTGTAGGAAACCATCTTCACTAATTTCCCTTTATCCTGTGTATTGGCGCGTGTGTGTGTATGTGTGTGTTATGTCCCTTCTTTCTTTTATTTNTAAAAAAAAAACAAAACAAATGAAACAATATGTATACCAAATTGACAATATAACCACACAAGAGGAAAACAATTTCAATTCATGGAATTTTTAATCAGAGAACTCTGACTTTAGTGAGATACACTTACACACACAAAAAAATTACAAAGAAATTAACTTTACTGAATAGATTTTTGCTGGATGTGGTATTGAAGCAGTAATCCTGAAACTAGTTTAGGTATACTTTGGAACAAAGCAAAATAAGATTCTCAATGTAAACAGAATGAAGACACAAATCAGTAACGGGGATTAGAGGTATTTCTCACCTCTATCCACTGGAAAGGCAGAGAGACAATGATTCCTCAATAGTAACAAGCACATCTAGTATCCAAATTTTGATTTCTAAAACCATTCTCCAATAAAAACAAGCAGGATTCAGTGGAAAAAAGAGTGATTTCATATTTGAAGAAGCGAAAATACAAGGTGAATCTGGTAGATATTGTACCAGTGAGCAATAAAGTGTTTGAAGACAGACAAAATTTTTCAAAAGGATACATGAAGTTGACTGGAGGGGGCTTCCACAACACAAATTTCAGATAATTTGGCCATCCAAAATAATACTGATAGTAATAAATTATAAAACAATGATTAAAAAATAATTCATGAGTACATAGTGAAACTCAAATGTTTAAAAAGGATGGCAATCCTCTTTACAAAAGAGTATGAGCTAATAAATGCAAAAAGAATGACAAAATTAGAAAAAAAATCAACTACTAGTATAATAATAAAGAGGAAGAGTATCAATGGATACCAAAACACTAAGTGAAATGTTATAGAAAACAAGATATTCATCATATAGTCTCAAAGTATGCACCTATAAATTACTAATTACAAAGAAAAGAATGTAGTATTATAAGGAGCAATCTGGCATATGCCAATTTAACTTAGTGATCTAATTTAGCATTAGCAATAATAAAACAAACAAATAATTTTATTTTGTGATAGGATGTAATAGAAAATACACAACATCATCTTACCACCAGTATGTTTACCCTGAAGCTAATCATAAAGAAAATATCACATAAATCCAGGCAAATTCAGATTATGAGGCTCTCCAAAAAAATGTTAATGCCATAAAAAACAAAAAAAATGGCAATGGTGCTGTTTTTTTATTAAAGAGACAAGACAGTCAATAGAAAAGCATGATCCCTGATTGGTTCCAGTCAGGGGAAAACCAACTTATACAAAGAACATTTTGGGGAATAAAATTTTGAGTATGAACTGAACATTAAATAATATTAATGGATCAATACTAAATTTCTACAGAGTGAGACTGTTTAAGAATGTTCTTGTATGTAATATGCACAGGAAACTATATGTAGAGGTCTGAAATGTTTCCACATAAAAAATAGAAATTTTAATCACCAATTAAAAGGCATAAATTTCACTCCAAACTAAGGTTAAATATCAGGCAGTTGAAGAGCTCACCACTGGTTAGACAGTCTATATCCCTGCTTTTACAGAGGACAAAATAAAGAAAACCAGAGGCACTGTGTGTGTAACCTGCCTCACTCTAGTTTTTCAACAATTCAAAAAAGAATTGCATGTACCTTTAGCAAACAGATGCAGTTATTTCTTTCATCTGATAATAGTAGCAAGCAACAAAATAAAAAATCTATGAGAAAGATGTTGGCTTTAAAAATATAGATACTACCTGTTTGAACTCTGCATCTAACGAATTTTTAGAATATTTGCAGTGCTACGCAAAGACTATTTAGGGAAGGTATACAGGAAATGGATAATACTCTACCAATCTGCAGCTGTCTCACATATTATATAAAGAATGAACTCGTAACAGTGAGAAAAGGGTATATAGTGCCTTTATGAATACTAAAAAATACAAGTCAAATTCCTAGAATATGTATGACTTGATTTTATTATAATTATGAAACCCATTAACCTATTATTCTTTTAAATACAAGCAAAAATACAAGATACTGTCATTATCAGTTAGCTTTAATAGGCTCAAGAAACAAAATAGTCTCTTAAGTTTTATTTAAAAGTAAAAAAAAAAAATAAAAGTTCCCCTAAAAAAAAAAAAAAAAAAAAAAAACCAAAAACCTTGAAAACAATTTCTAGTTAATGATGGTGGAGTAAAATCATTTTGTTACTCTCTTTCCTTGAATGCCAATGAAAAGAAAATCAAACCAAAGGTAGAAAATGTCAACTTCAAAGAAACAAGGAATCAAACAAAATTCAAACTTGAGATTATGAAGCATGCGTGCCAATTGGTGTAGATAAATCAAAATGAAGAAGGAACCAGAGAGCTGACCCCTTAGATCATTGCCAAGAAACAAATTGCTCTTAAACCCAATTATAAGAATGTGCCCAAGCTATCTAAGGATTCTTTGATTAGAGCTGAGATCTACAGATATGGACAGTCCAGGAAATGTTCAACATTGCAAAATGACAAAAAAGGAAAAGTTGAAGGAAAATCATAACAAACTGAATATTCATGTTGTTTAAGAATTAGCTCCTGAGCATGGGGAGACTACTGGAGGTAAAGTGAGATGAAGAAAAAAGATACTGAGAATGCTAGGATTCAACACAGAAAAAGCTTAAATAGCTTTACTGGGAGCCATTCTAAGCTTCTCAATGGTACAACATTTGAGGACAGATGGGCTCCCAAGAAGAAGTAAGAAACTGGCAAATTGTTATTCTAGACAACAAATTTAAATTGCAGACTGCTTCAGGTATCTCCCTTCAGCCATTCCTACGCTATTCTTCAATGAATAGCTAGCACCTTTTGATGACAAATAATCATCAGAAACAAAGCAACAATGAACTTAACATAGACACTGGGGAGGGGGGCAGGAAGGAGCAAAAAAAGGAATGTAAAAGCAATGATAAACATAGATCAGCAAAGAAATAACAGGAAGAGATACTCAGTTTTCCACTGTCTCAACGTAATTACTGAAAATATACTGGAAAAATATTACAGCGATTAGGACCATATTAGAAAAAACAAAAAATTATAAGACGGAAGGGTGAAAAGACAGTAGTAATACATGTGAAATACATAAGAGGAAAAATACAAAATGCAGTAAAATATAAAGACAATGGAAGCCGAGTGAAAAAAACTCCAAGCAAATATTAAGAGAATCAGACTTCCACATTCACGATACCCTCTCTTCTACAATATGCCCAGCATTAAATGCAAGAAGATATGAGACATGGAAAACAAAAACAAAGAATATCTAATATATGCATAAAATTCCTGGAAAAAACAAATGGAACAGAAAAACATTCAATATACAATGGAAGAAAACTTTTATATAAAAGGGAACATACTTTAACTCAGGAAAAAAAATAAAACCTGACACAGAGCATTCAACTCTGTAACATATTATAAAGAATTTACTAAACTTCAAAGATAAAGGAAAAACCATCTGGATAGCCAAGAAAAAGCAAGTCAGTTAGTGGGCAATAAAAATCTGATTAGTCTCGTAATTCTCTAATATAACACTAAAACCCAGCAGTGGGTAAAGGAATGTCTGATGTTAGATCGGACTCTTTATTTTCCTGGCCTTGTCTTTCACATAAAGGGACTTCAGCTAAAATAACTTTCTTGCCTTCTTTCCCTACCTCTTATTCAACCCTCCCCGTGTGAAGAGGAGTGATGAGTGAATCTGAATAAGAAACTGAGAATTGGCTCAGTCCCATCCTTTCTTTCTTGTTGAAGCTTTGCATGTATAAATGGAGTATTCTGACCAACATTCTACCAGTGGTAAATATAGTGGGGAAGGCTGAATTGGGAAATAAGTTTAATTTTGAGGTGATATATTAAAAAATCCATTTGGCTACAAATCTAAGCTATGCCTTCAGTGCAATTGTTTAACAGTAATAAAACTAACATTATAATTATCATCTTTTTGTCTCCTAAATTTGTGTCTCATTTTCCAATTCAGTGGGGGAAGAGAATCATTCTTTTTTGGGACACCAAGAGCCACAAAATTCTAAGGGAAAGAAAGTATATATAAAAATTTATACCTGGCCAAATCATATAAGCATAAAAGCAAAAAAAACCACCAATTATGGAAGGACTCAGAGAGCACAGTACCCATGAAACATTTTTGAAAAATCAACTAGATTATGATATCCAGCCAAGGGAGAAATGAATATAGAAATGGAGAGGTCCAGTATAATCTCTATGGAAAATAGTATGGAGATTTCTCAAACATCTAAAGTACATCTGCCATTAGATCCAGCAATTCCAATACTGAGTACTTACCCAAAGGAAAAGAAGTCATATATGAAAAAGACACCTACGTGTGTATGTTTATCACAGTGTAACTCACAATTGCAGAGATAGGGAAACAAACTATCTGCCATTAGATCCAGCAATTCCAATACTGAGTACTTACCCAAAGGAAAAGAAGTCATATATGAAAAAGACACCTACGTGTGTATGTTTATCACAGTGTAACTCACAATTGCAGAGATAGGGAACCAAACTAAGTGTTCATAAAACAATGAGTGGGTAAAGAAAATGCCGTGTGTGTGTGTGTGTGTGTGTCTACACACACACACACACACACACACACACACACACACCCCCATGGAATACTATTCAGCCATAAAAAAGAATGAAATAATGTCTTTGTAGCAACTTGGATAGAACAAGTAGCCATTATGCTAAGTGAAGTAACTCAGGAGTAGAAAACTGAATATCGTATATTCTCACTTGTAAGTGGGAGCTAAGCTATGGGTACAAAAAGGCAGAGTGGTATAACGGACACTGCAGACCCAGAATGGGAGGGTGAGAGGGAAGTGAGGGCTAAAAACAACATATTGGGTATAACGTAAACTACTGGGGTGACCATGCACTAAAACCTTAGACTTCACCACTGTACCATTCATCCACGTAACCAAAACCCACTTGTACCCCTAAAGCTACTGAAAAAAAAGAGAAAAGAAATGCAGAGGTCCTATTAAAAGAACCGGAGATTAAAATCTTTTAAAAATAGAAGAAAATGAAAGAAACATTAATCATTCAAATATAATATAGCTAACAACAGGCAAATGAGGATGAGGGGTGGGTAGGGAAAAGTTTAAGTATGCCTATTTCCAACATTTAGTAGTAAAGATTCAAGAGACTTAACAACAAATGACTTCAATTTCTTATGTTTTTTTTGTAATCTTTCACTCACTTTTAAATTTAGAGGTATCAATTAAGATCTAGTATTTCTTATGAAGAAGCATTAATCAAAAATTCATTAAGTCCTTGATTTCACATAAATTTCTAATTATTCTGTTGAATTCAAAAGAATAAAAGTATTTTATTTTTAAAAGTATACTTGTAAAACTGGTGAGGCTAAACTATGGTGCTTAAGTTCACACATACGAATGATAACACTATAAAAAGAAAAACACGGGAAGTGATTAATATAAAAGTGAGGATAATGGTTACACATGGGAGAGAGACGGACTGGTTATGATTGGTATGAAACAAATAAGGAGGTTTCTGGATGGCTGGTTTTGCCTAGAAGTGTTCACTTTCTAATAATTCATTAATCTACATGTTTCATTTATGTTTTTCTTTAAGTTTTATTTTATAATAAAAAGGTTTTTAAAAGTATGTATCTTAAAATTCCATTTATGCCTCTCCATTTGTCCTTCTACAACATAAAATGCACAGATAAATGCATGGACTACTGTTCACTGTGTGGTAACAACTAGTTTCTGGGTGATGAAATTTGGATATTCGGTGTTGTCTGCTTTGTAACATCATCATCATCTCTCTTCACTGTTTGACTTAATATTCATGTTTTAATGTTAAAATATTTCAGACATATAAAAAGCATATAGAGTAACATTATGAACACTAACCACCAAGCTTTAAGAAATACAACGTTAAAGTGAAGTTTCCTCATTCCCTCCTTCGCTGGTTTCATTTCTGTTGCTCTGCTGTCAGATGTAATGGTATTGGGTTTTGTAGTTTGTTTTTAAGAGACAGAGTCTTCCTATGTTATGCAGACTGGATTCAAACTCCTGGGCTCAAGTGACCCTTCTGTCTCAGCATCCCAAGTAGCTGGGATTACAGGCATGTGCCACCATGCCCAGCATTGGTATCTTTAATTTGTTGATCATCGTTCCAATCCATGTATTTACACTGTTAGCATATATGTGCACATGCACAAACAATTTATTATAGTCTGTCATGTTCTTAGGCTTTAAATTGGTATCATGTTGTATGTATGTTTCTGCAACTATTTTATGTACTGTTTTCGACCATCATCTATATCGGGAAAGTTGTTAATTTAAATGTTGTGTATTAATCCCCTTAATAAACTAGTTTATCCATTGTTTGTATTTTTTCACTATTGTCAACAATGAGGTAACAAAAAATCTTTTTTTGTGTTTTGAGATGGAGTCTTGCTCTGTCGCCCAGGCTGTAGTGTAGTGGCAGGATCTTGGCTCACTACACCTCTGCCTCCCAGGTTCAAGCGATTCTCCTGCCTCAATCTCCTAAGTAGCTGAGACTATAGGCATGTGCCACCATGCCTGGCTAATTTTTTTGTATTTTTAATAGAGAGGGGGTTTTACCATGTTGGATAGGCTGGTTTCATTCTGACCTCAAGTGATCCGCCTCAGCCTCCCAAAGTACTGGGATTACAGGCATGAGCCACAGTGATGGGCAGGTAACACAAATCCTTATATATAATGCCAGAGTTTCCCTGCAGTATATTCTTAGAAAGTATAACATCACAAGATGAACAAATTATTCACCTTAGAGATAAAATTAATAAAATTGAGTAAAGTGGATGAACCATTTTATTCTCCTTCTATAGTTTATGAGAGTTTCTGCTCTTGTCCAGAAGTTAGATCTGTCTTAGATTTTCCAATGTGATGATTAATTTGTATTTCCTTAGTAACTAGTTTCATCCTCCAAAAAGGGGCTGAACATCTTCTCACATGTTTATTGAATGTGTTCTGCTGTGATCTGCCTTTTCATATTCTTTATCTATTTTTTCTCTTGGGTTGTTTACCTTTTTCTTATTGAGTTACAGGCTTTTTATTTCTTATGTATTTTTTTATCCTTAAAATTGTAATGTATTGTGTGTGTGTGTGTGTGTGTGTGTGTGTGTAACTTTAGTTCTCAGGAAGTCTCAGATTGAAAATGACATCATACACCATCACACTAATGACTGCCACTGTCAATCTCCTGTGTACTGGCTCTGTTAGATGCTTGTCAGATGTGAGCCGTTCACTCTCAGAAACACACACTGAAAGAATTCAATTATGTTAAGTATTTTTAAAATTATGAAATAATCTTATACTTACAGAAAATTTTAAGTATTGCAAAAAACAAATTCCCTAAACCACTTGTAAGTTACTGACATGAAGTCCCATCATTCTTGAAAATTTTAATGTGTATTTCCAACAAGGACATTCTCCTACATAACCTCAATATAAACAAGATCAGAAAATTAACAGTAATAGTGTCTATAAAACATTTTAAAATAAAAAATAATTGTGATTATTCTTTTAAAGAAAATAATAAAGAACTGATGCTTAAGGTTTCTCTGTTAAATTATGGTATCCACTTGTCAACACATGGTAAGAAGGCAGCTTTAAACTCTATTCTCTCAACAAAAGAGGCATAAGTTAGGATTGACAGCATGTGAATAACTGCTTTCATTTTTTTTTCCTTATTCTTGACAACACAAGAGGGAATGAGATTAAACTGCTCCTGGAAATTTAAACACTGTATCGAACTTTCTGAGAATAATTGCTGGGAAAAGCTAGGAGTAAAATCTCCTTTGGCAATTTCTTTTCAAAGATCTCCTTCTGGAATAGTTTCAGTATAAATCTATTCAGAGGCTAGGGCTAACCTTTAAAAATCTCTTTTTAAGACCTAAGATTCTTTTATCTCTTTTTATCTAGTACAACTTATAAGTTATATATATTCAGTATTACTTAAGGTCATATTTATATAGCAAATATAAAAATAATAATAGGCCAGGCATGGTGGCTCATGTCTGTAATCCCAACACTTTGGGAGGCCAAGAAGGAGGATCACTTGAGGCCAGAAGTTCAACACCAACTGGGGCAACATAGCAAGACTCCATCTCTACTTTTTAAATAAAAAATTCAAAATCTAAAAAAAAATTTAAAAATAATAAATAGCCACTTTTTTTAACTATTATCTATGGATCAGGAACTGTTATTAAGTCAATGAGTTGTTCAATTTACCTTTAGAACAACCCTGGGATGGATCAGAGTGCCTTCAAAAAATGAGAGGAGAAAAACCAAAAACATTAAGTATAGATAACTTTTTGGGGAGTTTTCCTGAAGATTGGAAAAATAAAATATAGGTCATAGAGCTGAAGAAAGAAATCAAGATATATTTCTTTAACTTGTTTTAAGCAAAAGGAGATACAATAACACAACTGTATGTGAAGGGAAACAGATGCAAAGAAAGATACATTGTCAACCTGATGGAAAGAAGGCATCTGCTGAAGCAATACCTTGGAGTGATGGGATCTAATACAATTGCAGAGTGCTTGGTCTTTGTTGGGAGAAAGCATAGTTCATCTCTACCAACTGGAAAGAAGAATAAATATAAAGGGAAAAATGAGGAGACGGGGTGCCAGCAAGTAAGTGAGGGTGGATGTAATCTGTGGTCTTTTTTATCTTCTTTCATGGAGAAGTGTGTGTATGTAAATATCATCAGGTATGTCTTCATAGAAAAAGGTTTACAGACTGCTAATGAAGGCCTACTCTTCACTACCTTGACTCTACCTTCCTTTAATAGTTTTGTTTAGACATTATTACAGTTGTAATGTTCCCAAGAATTTCATCAGTTTCTATCTCCACAGTTAGTCACTATTTTTCCTGGGTACCAGGATTATCATAAAGCAAAGTCCAGAAAGCTAAGGTAGAGATGGCATTCCTTAAAAAATATTTTCAGTCTCAATAAGAAGTACATAAGGATTTTAGAAGAAAAATATGTTCTTTTTTTTTTTTTTTTTGCATCTGTTTCCTCTCAACTAAATGACGCTACAGTTTATGGATCTTTATCTAGAAGTTCTGAATATACCAATTGGCCAGTTCAACTCACTGATTAGACAAAAAAGATATAAATAAATTCTGAAACATAATTTCTTCTCTCATTTTCTGTCTACAAAAAAAAATGAGTCATTAGATTGCTTTGAAACATGAGTGTTCACACACTATTCAAAGGACTTCTCAGTTATAAATAAATAAAGAAGCTAAATATAAAACCACATCCATACCTCTCAAAGCTGACTGGGAAGGCTGAGTCAAAACTTTTACGTCTAATGCACTGTTGATATTTTCTTCTAAAGTAGCACAATATCCATCCACAACATTGGTAATAGTATCCTTCAAAGTTCCAAGATTATGGAAAACCTGAAGAGCTGTTCCGACTTGAGTTGGGTTCTTTAGAAAAGGTGGGGTGGGGAGGAAACAGATACAAATGGGAAAACAAACAAAATCAATATAAATATACAATTTTAAGTGGCACTTGAGCACTACTACCATATTTAAATACTATCATATTTTAAAATAATCAAAGACAAGACAAAACACAATTTGAAATGAAGATTATTTTTAATTATTTCATAAAAGACAAAGTTAAAAACTATGTATATTATTTTCCCCCTTAGCATTTTTGTCCTCCTTTAAAAAATAACAAGAAGTTTTGAAGTCTGCTGTATAATATTCGAGCTTATTTAAAATATACCACCAATCCCTATAAAAAGAACCATGCTAGAAATAATATTTGTTATTTCTATATTTGTTTAGACAATAAATAAATTCTGTGGCGCTGATTGAGGGCTGAACCATGTAGATTATGCATTATATTTCACTGACCCACTCATTCATTCTAACTACAAATATTTATACAGTGCTTACTGTGTATCTGTCATAGCTCTAAGTGCTGGGAAAACAGTAGTGAAACAAAACCAATTAAGTTTCTTCGTGGATCTTGTATCTATTGAGAACTGTACAAAACATAAATAAAACAGACTATCAGATAGTAACAAGTGTTATAAAAACGTTAAGTAGGGAATAAGAATAGAGAATGATGTGAATTATTATACAGAGATTATTAGTTGCAATGCATGTCTGAGGCAGTATTTAAACAAAGACTTGAGTACTGAGGGAAGGAGTCAAAGGAAGATGTTGGAAAATACAGATCTTTTTTTTTTTTTTTTTTTTTGAGACGGAGTTTCGCTCTTGTTACCCAGGCTGGACTGCAATGGCGCGATCTCGGCTCACCGCAACCTCCGCCTCCTGGGTTCAGGCAATTCTCCTGCCTCAGCCTCCTGAGTAGCTGGGATTACAGGCATGTGCCACCATGCCCAGCTAATTTTTTGTAGTTTTAGTAGAGACGGGGTTTCACCGTGTTGACCAGGATGGTCTCGATCTCTTGACCTCGTGATCCACCCGCCTCGGCCTCCCAAAGTGCTGGGATTACAGGCGTGAGCCACCGCGCCTGGCCCGGAAAATACAGATCTAAGCAGTGGTATTAGCAAAAGTGCTGAGATAGCCATATGCTTAGTATGCTAGGGAAACCACAAGTAGGCCATGATGGAGCAGAGTGATACAAATGGGTTGTTGGATTTGTGGCTAAGTTAATGAGTTAATTATCAAGCTAGAAGTTGGGACACTGACATATGCTTTCAGGCCCAAATAACTCAAAATCCTGTTTCACGCATTAGTCAGTGTCTGTTATTAGAGACACATGGTTAAAATGCCAAATTATTTCATTAACCTATTTTGTGGATTAAGTTTACTTTAGAAGGTTACCTATGAAATCTATTGGTGTTATTTTAATAATAGTACATGCTGCAGACATACACATAAACTCACACACAGAGGCACAGTAGAATCAGCTTAAAGAAAACAACAGGAAACATGGCTGGTGAATGACAATGCTCATTTGAGTTTTTTAAAAAAATAAGAAAAAAAAAGCAAATGGATATTATTACAAATTAAAATGTTCTAATAAAAAAGCTTAATTTACTATGGTCATAATAGAATTTAATTCTATTATATGTTGTACATTCTCTATTAATGCATACCAACAAAGAAAAACAAGCTACTTCATAAAAAAAATTACTTGCTTTTACTGTTATTTTCTTTTTTTCTTTCTCCCTAGACTGTTTTTTCTTTAAACTTTTTAGTAGAAACCCAAAATCCAAATTAGGCAGCTGTAAAGAAATTTCTCATGTCATTATTTAAGTGTATGTGTAATCCAAGAAAGCACTACTGGAGCAACATCAAAGAATACTTTCACCTCATAAAACTTGAAGACAGATATACTTTAAAATTATATTTATTGCCTTTACTATTCTCAAAGGCAAAGCTTCTCCACATACAGTATAGTTTCAGTGTCATCAGCTGAATGTACATTGCAAGATTTATGTATAAAATTTAAAAATACTTAAAATTTTTCACTTGAAACATCTAGCTAAAATAAACCACTCTTCATAATTCTCCACTCCAAAAATTACTAACTTCCAACTTCTCAAAACATGTTTGAAAAGGTTACTTCTCAAATCTGTCAGTGTTACTTTAATAGTATATTATATTACATATATAGCTTATCATTAAAGAAGTATATATTACAACACTACTTATAACACAATTTACTAGATTAATTTTAAACTTGTCAATTACCATGATCATTCTTTCAATTAATGCCATTTGTATTTATAGCTTAATACATAGATTATGCTAGTTAAAAAATCATAAAATAATTATCTGAAAATTCCTTAACACACATAGTATGCTAATTATGTAAGCACAGCTTTAATATCACAAAGTGAACACACTTAATTAACTGTCACCTGTATCACGAAGCTAAGTATTATTGGCACCTTTGAAACCTGTGTAGCTTCCCAAAGTTCACCTTGTCAAATATTATCACTATCATTACTTCTAACACCAAAAATTAATTTGGTTTTGAATTTCACATAAATGGAATTATACAGTTTGTATTATCTTGTGGCTTGTCCCTTTTACTCAACATATTATTTGTGAAATTCTTCCATGCTGTTGCATGCAGCAATAGTTGATTCATTTCTTATTGCTGTGCAGTATTTCATTGCAGTAATTTGCCTTAGTTTATCCATCCTACTGTTGATAAATAACTGACTTACTTCTACTTTTAGGTATTTTAATTTATGCTGCCATGAACATTCTATTATACCTCTTTCAACGAACACATATACATATGCATTTATGCAGGCGAGAGTAGAACTACTAAATCATAAGATATTAGTGTGCTGGGAGTTTCTAGATACTGCCAATTCTACAAAGCCACTGCAGCAATTTACACTCCCACCAGCAATATATGAGAACTGCGGAGGCCCCAAAAATTTGCCAAAAATTCAAATAATCGTTCCCTTTAATTTTGGCTATTATTTTGAGTATTTTGATTTTAATTTGTATCTTGATGATGACTAAGAAAGTTAATACTTCTTGCATGGTAATTATCTATTTAGATATCTTCTTTCGTGAAGAACTTATTCCTATCTTTTCCCATTTTTTTAACTACTTGTTTTTAGTCATTTACATATAAAGTTGTTTATATATTTTGGATACAATCACTTTGATGATTATATGTACTGGAAATATGTTCTCCCATTCTTAATAAAGTATTTTAAGGAAGAGAAATTCCTAATTTGAATGTAGCCTATTTTATCAATCTTACTCTCTATGGTTTAGCACTTTTGGTATTGTGTTTGAAAAGTGTTCCCCACTCCACATTCATAAAGCTATCTTTCATTCATAGAGTTATTCTTCTTGGTGGCTGGCAAGATGGCCAAACAGAAACAGCTCCGGTCTGCAGCCCCAGTGAGATCAACACAGAAAGTGTTTTGTAGATGTCTATAAGGTTTGTTTGGTCTGGAGCTGAGTTCAAGTCCTGAATATCCTTGTTAACTTTCTGTCTTGCTGATCTGTGTAATATTGACAACGGGTATTAAAGTCTCCCACTATCATTATCTGGGGGTCTAAGTCTCTTTATAGGTTTCTAAGAACTTGCTTTGTGAATCTGGGTGCTCCATATATATGTAGTGGGTGCATATATATTCAGGATACTTATACCTCTCGTTGCATTGACTCCTTTACCATCAAATGTCATGTCCTTCTTTGTCTTTTTTTGATTTTTCTTGATTTAACGTCTGTTTTATCAGACATTAGGATTCCAAACACTGCTTTTTTTTGCTTTCCATTTGCTTGGTAAATAGCCTACCAACCAAAAAAAGCCCAGAACAGATGGATTCACAGCTGAATTCTACCAGAGGTAAAAAGAGGAGCTTTGCCATTCCTTCTGAAACTATTCCAAACAACAGAAAAAGAGGGACTCCTCCCTAACTCATTTTATGAGACCAGCATCAGCCTGATACCAAATCCTGGCAGAGATCCAACAACAACAAAAAAATTTCAGGGTAATTGCCCTGATGAACATCAGTATGAAACTCCACAATAAATACTGGCAAACCAAATCGAACAGCACATCAAAAAGCTTGTCCACCCTGATCAAGTTGGCTTTATCCTTGGGATGCAAAACAGGTTCAACATATGCAAATCAATAAACATAATCTATCACATAAACAGAACCAATGACAAAAACCCCCTGATTATCTCAATAGATGCAGAGAAGTACTTCAGTAAAATTCACCACTTCATGATAAAAACACTTTAATCAACTAGGTATTGAGGGAACAATTTATACCTGGCGAACCATTTAAAATTTAGAACACACCTTAAATTAATAAGAGCTTTTTATAACAAACTCACAGCCAATATCACACTGAATGGGCAAAAGCTGGAAGCATGCCCCTTGAAAACTGGCACAAGACAAGGATGCCCTGTTTCACCACTCCTATTCAACATAGTATTGGATGTTCTGGCCAGGGCAATCAGGCAAGAGAAGGAAATAAAGGGTATTTAAATAGGAAGAGAGGAAGTCAAATTGTCTCTGTTTGCAGATGACATGACTGTATATTTAGAAAACCCCATCGTCTTAACCCAAAATCTCCTTAAGCTGATAAGCAACTTTACCAAAGTCTCAGGACACAAAATCAATGTGCAAAAATCACAAGCATTCCTATACACCAATAATAGACAAGCAGAAAGCCAAATCATGAGTGAACTCCCATTCAAAACTGCTACAAAGGGAATAAAATACCTAGGAATACAACTTAAAAGGAATGAGAAGGACCTCTTCAAGGATAAGTATAAACCACTGCTCAAGGAAATAAGAGAGGACACAAACAAATGGAAAAGCATTCCATGCTCAAGGATAGGAAGAATATGTACCGTGAAAATGGCCATACTGCTTAAAGTAATTTATATATTCAGTGCTATCTCCATCAAGCTACCATAGACTTTCTTCACAGAATTAGTAAAAACTATTTTAAATT